TGGCAAGCTCTACATACTCATGCATTTCGGCCTCTCTCTTTTTCTGTCTGCAAATGTGTCTAGTTTCTCTCTTCAACCGTCGGTATGTATCCCATCCCGCACTTGCTGTGGTCGATCGTAACGTTGAGAGTCTGTGTTCTCTCCCTTAGTACACGGTAATCCTCGTCGTACTAGGTGTTCTTTTGCATTTTCCGAAAACCAATAATTTAGTATATTTAATTTAGAGTAGAAAATCGTTCGGCTATCTGTTGTGATTGCAGCTTCTCAACGTCGAATCTTCATTGTGTTTGTTGACGTGCTTTTTTTGCTGCACAGAAACGGGTGCGTATCTTGGCCAAAACTAAAAACCCTGGGCATAAATATTGTATACTGTCGCGGACATGTTTGTAATGTAACAATAATGGTTTGTAAGCAATAATACACAAACAAATACCCTTGGGACTTGATTTGCCCGTCCTTTGGTCCTTTGAATTTAGTAGTAACTACAGGTGCTGAATCGTCTATAGAAGTCGCCGGTGGTAAAAACTAATGAAGATAATCGGAAAAGGCTAAGCGTTAAAGGTGTAAATTTGACACGTTGGTCAGCTAGAGAAGAGGCATGTAAATGTTTGAAGGGATCCTGTTATCAAGTTCTTAAAACTTTAGAATCAGTCAAGGATGATTGTATGAAAAGCCTCTAAGCGACAAGAAGCGACTGGAATATTATTAAAAAATTCCAAAATCTGGAAACGGCAGTACTGGTTGTATGTATGTTTGTTTTTTTAGAGAAATTAAACAAAGGGGTTGTTAAAATGAGTTAAGAATAGTATTTATTATATTGTTTTTAAATGGTGTGTAATAAAAAATATTTATCAACTTTACACATACTTTAACTTTCATTAAAAAATGTATAAGAGATTTTCTTTGCTTAAAATTATGTTTCTTCAAAATTCTTTCCTATGACAATAATCAAGGATCTGACACGGTTCGATTGCCAAACTTTAGAGTGACTTTTTACTAAAAATATCGGCCAATATATGAGTTATCTCAGTGGAAATGAGAGCGTATTTTACTCATAACAGTGTATCTTTGTGCCTAAAATAGATAAAATTGGGCGATAGCTTGACCTAGCGCCCCCATACAACACTACCAAGATTTTCGAATTTCCGTCTGACTTTGTTCCATATGATTGGTTATTGCATATGAGGAATCTTAATGAAACCCTTGGAAATTTTTTTTTTTAGTATGTGGTGTGATAATAGTAAATAGATAAAATTTTGTCGATAGTACCCCAAATTCCCATATTTTACATATGTATAATGATTTCGTTTTTCTAACAATATTTATGCCGAATATGTCGGTCAGTATATGAGTCATATATAGTATGTATATATGTGACCTGGTCTACGAAAAGGGAGCTAACGTGCGAAAACTAGTTTTCTGGGAAATATCCGAATCAACTAAAAAGTGAAAATTGATTTTATGACACCTAAGCCCCCTTTCCGTAGACCAGGTCACATATGTATGTATAAAACAGTTTGGATTCCGATCCGTTAATCTGGAACCTATTTAGTGTAACGTTTAACAAGTTATTGCTCTGCATCAACAATATTGCATTGTTAGAGATTCCTTGTTTGGGGCCATCTCCCGTTCAGACCAAAGACTTTTCATCTCATGTAGTAAGAATATATGTGTATAAATGTATAAAGTTCTCTGTATTCTCATTTGCGTATGTAGATAAATATGTATATATAGGCACAATGAGCGTCAATGTACATACATATGAAGTTATATGTATGTATGTATATAATACAATTAAATTTACTCAGTTCCCAAACGACTGTTTAAAGACCATTTTATTGTTTAAATGTATTTTAGGATGGTTTTCCCTAAATGAATTTAGCTTCCTATGTACACGTGTTCGGAAGCACTTGAGCACTTGAAATTAAAGATTTGTTTTGATTGAGTTGCTCTAACCCTTAAAATTGGAAATACTCTAATAAACAAATGTATTTTTGAAAATTTCAGCCTAATTAACCAATGAATAAACACATTTGGAAACACTCTAACAAATTCGAAGCACATACGTGTGTATGTACATGTCTGTATATAAATTGGTTTATTTCGGCCTATGTAAACATAATTACCTGTGCCAATACACATATTGATTCCTATTTACTAGTATGTATCTATATCGACTTTAGGGGCTAAGAAATCTTTGACTCGTCCGAGAAATCGCATTAAACAAAATATCCCTATCCTACTCTTAGGGTACTAGCCTTAACTCGAATATTGACATACAAACTAAACCTATGATATTCCACTCAATCGTTCTCAAGTTTTTGATTTCAAAGAGGCGATATCTCTGCTATTTTTGTTTACAATGGAAAAATAACATGTTTCGAAAAAACATTGTGTCATGATTGGGACAAAATAGCTTTGATGCAGAGCAATAACTTTATTAGTTCTACGGAAAATCTGTACCAGCATATTTAACGGTTTACTACTGGTTTGCCAAATTTCATCGTCAGGTCACCCGTACAAATTACACTCTCCGTTAGGAAGAAAGAAGCAGTAACTCCACATGACATCGTTGCAAAAACTTCTGAAATGCTTTATAAGTGACCGAAAAATAAATATGTCTTCTTGAAATAAAACTATTTCTGACAAATGAAAACATTGTCTCCGCTTTGTTTTTTTCAAAATCCTATCAAACCCTTTAAGAATTAGTTTTTTTTTTTAATATATACATCATTAAACACCAGTGAATAATTGTTGATCGTTGAAGGTCGCCAGGTTTAAAACATTAAATTTGTTTTTCATAAAGAATTATTTTCATGAACTGTCTCGAATAATGTAACAATCAACAATCAATATTGCTGTGCGGGGGAACTGTCCCACAAAAGTAAAAAATTATACATTATTTCGACTGAGCCACAAATGTCATAAAAAATCAAAATCGTTTTCATCTTAAGTTTTTTAAATTTATTTCTTGCGCACAGACCGACTTGTAAAATAAACCAATGCTTACACAGGAAAAACATACATACTTTTTCATTAGCACTTTTGTCTGTATGTTTACGAAGGCAAATACGAGCCACATATGTGCAAACATTTTTAAAGAATCACTACTACCCCTTCAAAGTAATCCCCTCCCACAGCAAAACGAATTTTCCAGTCATCATAGCACTTGGAAAAATCCTCCGTCGTTATGGCCATCAGAGTCCTCTGCGATTCAGCTTTTATTATATCCTCATTTGAGTCAAAATGGTGTCCTCGGAGTGATTATGTGAATTTGCTGAATAGCTAGAAATTGCACGAAGGTAAATCAAGCGAATGCGGTGGTTGCGGCACGGTATTTGTTGAAAATATAACGAAATGAACACGAATAACCAATGCAATATGAGATGATGCATTATCACACTTCTTTGTTCAATAAATTCAGACATATTAAAAATCGGAGAATTCACTTTTAGAGGCTCACAAAACGACGCGTATCTCAAATACTAATGAATATTTTGACGTGAAATAGCATAGATGTCACTAACTGTACTATCAACTTACAGAAAAAAAAGCATGACCGTCATAGCAACATTGGTTGTAACACTCAAGACACGTAGAATGCATGCTGATCGTCACTTTAATGCAACTTTTTCAAATGCTACACAGATGTTGAAGTGGAAAAACCCGGAACATGTGATCGTCAGAGTCATCGAAATAATCACCCATCTGAAAGCTGTGAAGATTTTTACGGGTTTCTGCATCCAAGATTTAAAAACGCGGTTTTCCGATGAGGTTCTCTTTTGAAGTTCATTTAGAGTCAGGTGTTACCAAAATTTAACCAAAATTAAAAAAAAAAAAAAGGATTTAACTGTACTCATTGAATGCCTAATTTGAAGTTTTGGGAAAATCTTGCGCGGAAACAAAGAACTCTGCTCAAAGCAGAAGTAACGCTATTTCAACAACCATGGAAAAATGACAACGACAGCACAAGTGCTTTTTGCCTTAGAAAGCTTCAGCACTTTGCCAGCCGTAAATGCTAGCGCTAAACGATCCTTTTCTTCTTTGCACCGAATCAAGACTTGGCTCAGAACAACGATGCTCTAGAAAAGATTGAACGGCTTAGCACTCCTCAACATAAACTACGAAATTGCTGTGGAACCAGAATAAATAATAGAAAGATTTAGTAAAATAAGGTTAAACATTTCTTAAATCAGTTACAAAATCAAAAAATTGCCTCCCCCGCAAAATTCTACTCTGGATCCGCCCCTGGTTATTGGATTGTATGAACAACGAGTACTAAATTGGTTCAACGACTCTTCGTAGCATGCAGTATATACATACATACATATGTACATTACAGTATACATTCTTAGAAATATTAAACCTGTGCAACTTTTTTTGTTTCAAATAATACTAATGTTTTATCGAGCTATTTATGAATAAAAACATAATATTTTTCGTTTATGCATATTTTTTTATTTTTAACTGTTTTTGGGGTTACGATTCATAATAAAATAACCAAATTTATATAAAATAAATACATTATGATTTAAGTCACACTTAATCTAATTAAACAAAATTACACCAAACAGCATTTCAAGCAATAAAATTGTTCGGTTGAAATCACAAAACGTTCATTCACTCTTGATCAGGAATTAATTCGGAAGCCCAGACATCTTGAGGCCAACCAGTGCGTCCTTTATTTGAGCGTTGCATATTCTGTAGATGGATATAAGTACGTAAATTTCAAATTATTCTTGTAACTATGTAAATATTTATGTATGTATATGCAAATATATATGTATGTATATATAAGAACAAAGGCTGGTGTACTTAGCATAGTGAATTATAGCGTCGTTTCATTTTAAACTAAAATTACATTAATGTTGTTTACGACTATTTTCCTAAAAACGTTATTTTTTTTAAATCTTATAATTTCCTCATCAATAATCCTTATAATATTCAATTTAAAGGAGCCATAATGGAATGCAAAGGTTGTTGGTAGTTGCAGACCAGGTATAGCCTAGATGGTAGCTAATGTCGAACTATACATCCAAATAGTTTCTTTGATATCTCTGCAATTTGCCTGGTATCAAATTAATTATTTAATAATTTTTTTAAGACTAACATAATACTTGTAGCTTTTTAAAAGGTTATATTGTATAAGACCTATTATATAAGATTATTATTATATTTTAAGAGTGTTTACATTCAATATCACATAAATCATACATAAAGCATATTTATACCCTGAATAAGACACATTAAGTTTGCCACGAAGCTTGTAACATCCAGTAAAGAATGTTGGGGTCAGGACAAACATTTCCCCCCGCCCGACTCAAATCGCATTTCTTGTGAACAACTACCTAACCAAGGCCGGCATCCCAACCCTTCCTACAGCCCAGATATCGCCCCCACGGACTATCTTTTGTTTCCTTGCCTGAAAAGGTCGATGAAAGGTAAGCATTTTGAGACAATAGAGGGGATCCAAGCTGAACCTCGGCTCTCAAAGCTAACCTGGACTACTTATTTTGGTAAAAAACCTTTTTTTAACCAGAACTTAATTGACAGATGTCTGCTACCAGACATTGAGAAAACGGCCCTTAGATATATGTACATTAGAACTGCACCTGAGAAGGGTATTATATCGACATTTTTCCTTAAATTCTGTTTCGTATGATATTAAATTTCATTATTGATACTTTCTATGTTATTCATATAATATCATTTAAATTAATTAATTTTTAATGATATATAAATCGCACTCCTCGTGCTTTCTTAAGAAATGTGCCAAATATATATACCAACCCCTAACAAAACTATTYAATTCATCTCTTATGCAARGCTTATTTCCATCCATATGGAAAAAGTCATTTATAATGCCTTTGCATAAGAGTGGATTTAGGTCATCTATTGAAAACTATAGGGGAATAGCAAAGTTGTCTGCAATACCYAAACTWTTTGAAGCAATTATAACAGACGACATAACCTTCCGGATCTCTCCAATAATTTCTTGTTCTAAGCACGGTTTTCGTAAAGGGAAATCCACAATAACTAATTTGCTTGAATGTTTATCACATGTATCAACGGGCTTTAGGGAGAATAAGAATACTGATGTTATATACACAGATTTTAGTAAAGCCTTTGATAAAGTAAACCACTCAATTCTTTTGAATAAACTTGATCTCCTTGGTTTTCTACCAATATTTCTAAAATGGGTTGCTTCTTATCTTAGTAATAGAATTCAACAAGTCATATTTAACGATACTCTTTCCGACATAATCGATGTTCCTTCAGGTGTTCCTCAAGGTAGCCATCTTGGTCCAATTCTGTTCTTGTTATTTATTAATGACATATCATCTGTTGTTAAGTTTTCAAACGTTTATTATATGCTGACGATGTAAAACTTTTTAAATCATTCACCTCAAATAGTGAAAGATGTCAGTTGCAAACAGACTTAAATAACCTAGTTTCTTGGACAACCTTACGGTTGGAGCAAGTGTGCAGTTTTGTTGACTTGGGAGTAACTGTGGACCCCAAACTCAATTATAATCTTCACACATCTTCCATGATTTTTAAAGCTAATGGTGCTCTAAGTTTTGTTAAACGTTGGTCTAAAGAATTTAGAGATTCGCTTACCACGAAAATCTTTTTACATCTTTGGTGAGGACTATTTTAGAGTATGCTTCCGTGGTATGGAACCCTTGTTATCTAGTTCATTCTGAGAAAATAGAGTCCATTCAAAAACAATTTTTACTTTTTGCCTTAMATCATTTGCATTGGGATTCCAGTTTAAATCTTAACCCTTACATTAACCGTTTAAAACTTATAAATCTCCTTACACTCGCTAGTCGTAGGGAAATGCTTGGTATAATATTTCTTGTAAAACTCATCAATGCGTCAGTCTGTAGCCCATCTCTCTTGTCTGATATTAATTTTAACATTCCCGCTCGCTCTACCAGGCAGTTTAAACCTTTGCTTTTAAAATTTTCTAGAACAAATTTCGAGTTAAACGAATCATTCCGCCGTATATGTCACGATTTCAATTCTTATTCAAGCACATTTGATCTAACAGATTCTCTCTTGCCTTGTATGACTCGGCTAATTTCGCTCGTTCGCGGATTGCGCCCCGCGCGTCGGTTGGGCGGGAGGAGGGTAATCGTTGGGAATTATTATTATGTACATATGTACATATATGTACCATAGATTCCAATATCTAATTTAATTATGAACTTCGCTGTTCTCTTCCGTATTTGAAATCTAAGCACTTGAATACAGGGCTTTAATTGTGAAATGAAACCATTAAGCTCTTGAAAGTAATTTGGAATCTTCATACAAATAATGCATTAGATATCAATTCAAACGAGAAAAATCATCAATAACGGATATATACATTTACGAATACACACACATTAAAGTGATAACAATAAATTTTTTATTTTGGTTTTATTTTTTGTTTTTAATTTTGTGGGAGTGCACAATTGAGTTAACCGCAACACCCATTCTAAAATAACTTTATGTGTGGGTATGTATACAAATTCGAACGAAACACAGATGCACTTGTTACGTGCCCCTTTCACTTCGCCTTATTCCCATGAAGCAGCAATGCGGAACAGCATCTGCCGCTGACTGACAACAAGCCGGGCAAGTGTCAAGTGTGTGCGGCTTATCTATTTATGCTTTTACTGTAATGAAGCAGCAATTAATGTACCAGACATTCGCCGAATTTATGGACAAACCATGTATAGTATAAACATTAACTTCATAACTCCCCCAGAAATCAGTAACTACCCTTTGTCGACATTTAGTGAAGTGTTGTTATAAGCTAACTAAATTATTTGATATTAAAAATTAGTAGAACCGTTTTAAGGGGCGTAATTGTAATAAGTGTTTATTTTATATATATATATATGAATATAAATATTTACTTTTTGGCACCATTACACGTGTACAACATACGTTTCACATGTTCATTTGTGTACGAACACATAGGATTATGCAAAATATTTGCCGTTATAAGGTGTGGAAGCCGCGCCCAACTAAAACTATTGAATTTCGTGTAAGAATTTTACGAGATAAAGCCGGTTCTACTGACTTAAATTCGATTTTTTAAGAATACCCTAAACCATAAATGCCTTGTGTTGAATGTTGCATATAAAATCCATATTTTTTGCTATTTTATTTGTAAAAACTGGGAGAGCGCAATTTCACAAATATCTCTTGAGTCGAATTTTTCACCAACAAAATGGCTCGCCATAGAGAGATACAGGTAGTAATCACTTGGTGCCAGGTCAGGAATAAGGTGGATGCATAGGAATCACTTAACCAAGTTCAGGTAGCATCTAGCCATTCACAGTCTATGTGTGTGATCTTCCGTTGGCCGGTAGAACACAATTCCTCTTCTTTTGGACGAACCTGGTTGTTTTTGGGATTGGTTCCTTCAGAGGGCACAAACAGTTTCAGAGAGTGATCAATAAGTCTTCTTAACTGTTAAAATAAATATAAGGAGATGAAGAGTTCTTCCAACCTGGAAGAGATATATATACTATGATTTATTCTACCACTCTAGTGAGAGCTTATATTATTTTCATCAAAATTGTTCAATCGTTTCTATGAGAGGGCCCCCCTGGAATCGAATTCATAATTTGTATAATTTCACAGAAGGCGAATAATTGGTTCTGGAGATTAAATGACGCAAGTTTTAATATTTTACAAAAGGTATAAAAAAGATTTTCGTGTAAAGCAGAACAAAATGTTTGGTGATTTCAAATAGTTGGTTGATAAACAGCAGACTTTCTTTCGGGTGAGTTAATCATTTATAATTTTTTTTAGTCAATACCTGACTTTCCAAAGTTTCAAATGGAAACCTAAGAAAAGTCCACAAAACTATACATATGTAAATTTTCACTCAAAGCCACGTTTTCGTGTTATCAGACTTCAAAAGAATGTTCGCTGGATAACAAAAACTATCCGCTAAGAATGGTATTTAGAAATTGCAGGAACCCTATAATCGGTGTATTGTGCATAAAATTTTTTATAGCTTGACTTACTATGCTTTCACACTATCAATAAATCTTACCTTTATATCATGTTTTAGGTAAGATCTCTTGTCACTGGAACCTTTTCTGTGTAGTGGCCTTAAATCAGCGCTAAATCCTGTTTTCGGATCCTGATCTCCATCCAAAACTTCAACCAGGTACTTAATGTAAAGTATAGCTAATTTAAGCGTTTTAATCTTAAAATAAAAATAAATATGTATGTTAAAACGAATAATTTAGATTAATAGATTTTAAGGAGTATATATGATGCAGAAAAAACAATCATACCATATTAAACAGGCAATGACTATTTTTTATACTCTGAACAGGGTATATGATGTTTGCCACAAAGTTTGTAATATTCAGAAGCAAACATGGGAGGCCCTCTAAAGTATACCAATATGTAAATGACCAGTTCGACGAGCTGAGTCTGAGTTATATCTGCGATAACGATGAGTAATTTTGCTTACAACTTTTTTCACTTAAGAACAAGTTCCGTTATCTGTCATAGAAACCGATGATGAAAATATTTTAGAGATCGGATCACTAAAACATCTAACTGCCCTACAAACTGACCGATCAAAATCTATTTTCTGTATGAAAAACTTTTTTTATTTGACGAATCTTCCCGAAATTTTGCTCACATTATTGTCCAAGGAAATGTTACAATCACCGAAATTATTGTTTAGATTGGATCACTAAAACATGTAGCTGCCATACAAAGTTGGTTATCAAAATCATGATACATATAAGTATTTCGGTGCGGCCGAAGTTAACATTAAGAGAAACAAGTGTTAGTTACCAAATTTACAAAATTACTTTGTACATAATACGAAAAAGTAATCCTCCTATCAGAATATGCTATAAATTTTGCAATTGTCCTACGATACTACGACGTTTAGCCGTTCTGCAGAGAATATTGCTGCTGTTGCCGAGGATGTCATAGCAGCGCCGTCGACATCGACCAGACGACGTGCCACGCAAATGGGTATCAGTCGATGTAAAGTTTTGGTATATGCTTCGAAGATGTTTCCGTACAAAGTCCAGACGGTGCATCAGCTGTTATCTGCTGACCGCCAATCGCGTCTAACATACGCTCATGCCATCCTTAATCACCACCAAGAGGAAAATGCTTTTTCATCAAAAATAATCATGAGTGATGAGGGCCATTTTCATCTTATCGTGTACGTAAAAAAGCAAAATTTACGTTTCTGGGTCACTGAAAATCCGCGTTCAGCCCACGAAGAGCCATTGCACCCGCTCAAAGTCACTGTATGGTGTGCTGTTTTCGTTGGAGGAGTAATCGGACCTTTTTCTTCGAAAATGGACCAAACGATTACTGTTAGTGGTGAGCGCTACAGAGCAATGATCAACGAGTTCTTTTTGCCGTAATTTGATGAATTTAGGGTTGGAAAACATGTGGCTCCAACAGGACGGTTCAACGGCACACACTGCACGTGCCACAATCGATACGCTGAATAATGCATTTCCGGGCGCCTAATCTTCCGATTTGCACTGGCCAGCAAGATCACCTGATTTCACCGCTCCAGACTTCTTTTAGTGGGGCTTTTTGAAGTCAAGAATGTGAGGTCCTGTCGAGGGATGTTCTGGCCAAAATGATGGAAAATGCCATAAAAAGGGCTAAACTGACAATCAACTGTGGCGGCGGCCATTTACATGATATCATATTCTCCACTTGATTTAAAAAAAATTTAAAGACCAAATGAAAACAAGCTGATTCAAAGTTTCTAATTTTTTTAAAAAATTACAGCCAAGAAACATCGGTTAATTTTGCGCCATTTTTGTGTATTATAAATATTGTTTTTGTTGTGAAAACTAAACAGCCCTGCTGCTATGCAAAAATGTACATGCATATATCCAAAATGGTGAATTCTATGATAGGTACGAACTGGTTGAGTTCCCTAACATTTTTCCGTTTCCACTTTAAAACGTTTCCACTTTAAAACATACACACATATGAACATTTAGAATACAAGTAGATTGTATATTCTATAAACCTGCCAGTGGTGGATCCACAGGGGTTTTTGGGTATCAGAATCTCCTCGAAATCAATATAAAACATACATATGTATGTATATAGGAAGGAAAACCCCCATTCCTCCAGAAGGAAATTTAGGATCCGCCATTGAAACCTCCCTATGCACTTTCATGCTTTGAAATATACAAACGAGATCTACTTTAAGGTAAACAATTTTTGTTTGTGTATATATGTACTGTATGTACATACATATCCGTAGATATTAACAAAAGTGGTTTACCTCTTTCAAGTGATACATTAAGACGAATCTAGAGCTGTATTAATGCACTGCGTTGTAATTGCGAATACACTTAAATACATACATACAAGTATGTATGTACGCATATACGCATATTTGCACAATAAGTTTAATTCCATTGTTTTTTTTTGGTCCTCGAAGATATAGTAAGTACACTTATATGCGTATGTATTATAATTACCTTGGATAATTTCGTATCTGATGGTACATTGGGAATTTTTTCTCGTAAACATGTAAAAGCATTATTGATACTTTGTGTTCTTCTTCGTTCTTTCTTGTTGGCTGTATTTCTTTTCTTAATTATACGCACAGCAGGCACAGCAGCAACTTCTTTCGTTGAAGTGGGTGTGAGTAAAATCTCATGAAAGTCTTTTCCCGTTTCTTGAAATAAATTTTGGAATAAAGCAAATGTTAAGAAAAACAATTGTTAGTTTGTATACAATATCTATATGTAATGAGTAAAGTCAATAGTTTCCGGTACGAATAGAGAGACAAGAGACATTAACAAATGCTACACGAATACAATATAATTTTCTAAAAGTTTATTTACTAATATGGTTAAAGGGCATTTACATACTAAATTGTGGAACTGTGCTGGGAATTTACTAATCGCAATATATTTTTATTTTTTGTTTTTGTTTTTGCTTTAACATTATTTTAGCTGGCTTGAGATTGAGATAGCAGATGGCTATTCTCAATAAAAAGTGGGTCGCTTACGACAACGTCAAAGGAAAACGGTCGTGGTCAAATCACGGTGAGTCGGTGCAAATGCTAGCCAAGGCAGGATTAACGATCAGAAAGGTTTCGTTATTTGTTTGGCGAGATCGGCAAGGAAACCCCTTTTAACCTATGTATGTTGTGGCTAGAGTGTCCAAAGAAAGAAATTGCCAAAAGGCTTTGACTATTAGCCTAAGATAGAGAGGAATTGTGTTTCATCAGCACAGCGCTAGGTCATACACATCCAGGAGCTCCACGAGATTGGTTAGAAGTGTCTTTTTCATCTTCTGGATCTGCCACCAAGTGATTACTACCTGTTCCTGTCCTCACCAGAAGGTTGTGAAAATCGACTATTCCAATTTTTTGTCAGTAAGGTTTAAAATTTTTATGAGAATGACATTATGAAATGACCCTTAAAATATCAACAAGTTAACGAACAAATATGCAAAAATAATAAATCAGTCAGATTTGTAAAAAGACGAAAGGAATATTCTTCGAACAATAAAAATATAATTCAAATCAAAAGTAAAACAAGTAAGGAAGTAATAAATTCGGGTGCAACCTCACATTTTATACTCTTGCAACATGTAGAATCAAAGCCAAGCAAATACCTTAAGGTGCAAAACGACAACCAGAGGATCGGAATCCAAGCAATTTTATGTATACATTTATACATATAGTAAGACTTTTTAATTTAAATTTCGCGCGAAAACCCATTCGTCGTAGTATTGTTTTTTCTAGGTTCGCTAGACTGTCAGCGACATCTATATCAAAAGTCGCATAAAAATAATGTTTACAGTTAAGTATACGCTTGTGTTTCTGAATTACATAAAGTGTATACGGCGATTTTTAAGGTGAATGAAATTATGCGACAAAAAATTTCCGTTAAATTTTGTGCGTGGAATCAAATTTCTGGAGCCGAAACTTTTAGAATATTGGAAAATCCCTACGGTGATAATTGTTTGCGCGTGCAAGGGGTTTTTCATTAGTGCCAATTATGCAAAGAACTCGGCGACGACGAACCACATTCAAATAAAGGAATAGGAGCTTGAGAAGCGACGATTAATAGTCAGAGATCTTACTAGCATCGTTGGAATACCGGAAGGATCAATGAAAGCCATTTTGAAACATCATTTATTCCTAAGAAAAGTAAAAGTATGATTGGTTCCAAAATCACTCAATTTTGTCAAAAATAGCGTCAGGTTAACATCTGGGAAACAAGGCTTTCCGACTACTAGGATCTCATGAAACGTATTATTACTGACGATGAGTTTTGGATCTAGGTTTATTACCCAGAAACGGACGATTAAAGGTCATTGATTCTTCGTGATTATTTCGCCAAACTTTGAACCAATATCGTGCCGCAACCACCTTATTCGCCCGATTTTGCTTCGTGTGACTTCTGGCTATTCAGCCAGATCGTTTTGAGTCAATTGAAGACATTAAAAGTGAATCACTACGCGCAATGAAGGCTATTCCCAAATTGACTTTAACAACTATTTCAAGGATTGGAAAAAACGTTAGCACATGTACATTGGTGCCAAGGGGGATAATTTTGAGGGGACCACATAGGTTTTGAAGAATAAATTAAAAGTTTTAAAATTATGACCAAAGTCTTACCATTGGGGATTGAACAGTTTTTTTATCCCGATAAATATTTCTTGAATTGAACACTGGAAAGTGTGAGATTCAAATGAACTTTAAATTGTGTAATAAGTAAGTAGACGTGGTTGAGGTGCGATTTCACCAATTTAACAAAAAGGATAACCCCAAAATCTGCGCTACCATGGGATAAGCCTTCTTAATATCGCTTTTAAGGTCTTATAAAGCGTAGTGTGTGAAAGACTGAACCCCATCGTCAACAAACTGATTGGATCTTATCAGTGTGGCTCTAGACCTGGAAAATCTGCTATCTACCAAATTTAGCAAAATAGCCATAAAAGGAAGATCGACACACACTATCTCTCGTCGATTTTAAAGCTGCCTTCGTTAGCACGAAAAGAAACTACCTATATGTCGCTATGACTGAATTTGGTATCCCCGCCAAGCTAATACGGTTGTCCTTCAGGATTGGAAAGGACCTCTCCGAGCCGCTCGGCACCAAGCATGGCTTCAGCAAGGAGAATCAATCTATTGCTGTAGAAAACAATATAGCTGGTAGTGTAGGCCGCATTCGCGACTTGACTTCACTGTTGACAGTTATAACTTTGAAATCGTAGATAATTACGTCTATCTTGGAACCGGTATTAACACCAAAAACAATGTCAGCCTCGAAATCCAAAGTAAAATAACTTTTGCCCACAGGTGATACAGGTGATACAGGATGACTGAGGTGGCAATTCAGTAATAAAGTCCTGCTTTATGGTGTGGAGGCATGGTCTATGACATCATCTGATGAGTCGGCCTTAGGAGTGTTCGGCATAAAGGTTCTGCGGAAGATTTATGGTCCTTTACGAGCGAGTAAAGCGGTCGGTGGAACTATGAACTGTAGGAACTGTATGGCGACATTGACATATGTAGTTCAGCGAATCAAGAGACAGGGCTGTGGTGGAAGACCGGATGGAAGAGAACACTAAAGTTTAGAAGGTTTTCGAATCAGAACTCGCCGGTGGAAGAGGATGAGCTCCACTCTGTTGGAGAGATCAGGTGGAGAAGAACTGCACTAGACGATTTGGCACCAAATAATGAAAAGAAGAAATGACTGGCACGCTTTTGTTAACTCGGCTAATAACCTCGAGAGTGGAGTTTTTGCCAGTAAAGAAGAAAAAGATCTAATTTGAATATACAACTGTTTTAATTTTCCTATTTATAAAATTGAGCATGCTTAAAAAACTTAATTCAACACGTATCTACGATATATTAAATACATATATTATATTTTAAATTAACTATAAGCTAACTTAAGTTATTTCTTACCATCAAATTTGGGTGATGATTCAGAACAACATTGTGACGACCGATAAAATGAGTTGGAAGTTAAATTTGCTCCCGAACAAGCGTTTGTTATATAGCAGCCTGGATTGTTACTCGAGTCAGAGCAATATGAAGCACTCCATTGTTCTAAAAGCATTACAATAACGAATAAGTATAAAAGTCCAATATAACCCCGCACACTCCTCATATAACGGTACTGGAAAAACTATCAAAAGCCGTATAAATAAGTAACTAATTACGCCAAAGACAATGAAATCACATATCTTGAGACCCGCCCGACCTTTTTCGACCAAATTATTTCCTGACATTCCGATCACATTCCTATGTAACGAAAATGGGCGTATTACTCATATCACACAATTTTAACGTCTATTTAATTCTTTCACTTCCTAGCAACTATATAAATCAAGACGTAATTAATATTAGTTTGTCAAAAAAGTCTTGCGGTATTTTCGCTAGTTGGCGCTGAGAGCGCGTAGTTCTAGTTTTAACACGTGTTTGATTAATTGTCGCTTCTTTTAAGTCGTTCGTGAGTTATAGCGTCGCAAACATGGAGAAAAAGAACGAGAAAATACGGCATATTTTACAGTACTACTACGATAAAGGCAAAAATGCATCTCAAGCCGCTAATAAAATTTGTGCAGTTTATGGACCCGATACAGTTTCTATTTCCACCGCACAACGATGGTTTCAACGTTTTCGTTCTGGTGTAGAGGTGGTCGAAAATCCGCCACGCTACGGAAGGCCTGTCGTCGAAAATTGCGATAAAATCGCCGAACTGGTCGAAAGAGACCGGTCAAGAGCTGGGCATGAGTCATCAAAAAGAATTTTATGAACAATTGAACACTCAATAAAAATACCGCAAGACTTTTTTGACATTATTACGAGATAAAACTTTGCATGAATAATATTTTGAGGTATTTCAACTTATGACTAAAAATTGCCTAAATGGAACCAAAACTGTTCAAGCCTCTTGGTACTGAATATGTAGATCCAGTGCTTATAGTTAACTTTTTACCGAAAATATCGGTCAATGTGTGAATTATATATACATATATATTTTTTCAATTCATAATCCTTTCTGCGGTGAATCGGCTCAATACTCCCCTTAGCCCCCTTATACCTAATATAAAGATTTTCGAACTTCTGCTTGACTTTATACTGCTTATATCAGCCAATACGTGGTTCCTAATGGATATATTATACAGAGAAGGCATCAGATGGAATTCAAAATAGCGTTAGATTGGAAGAAGGCGTGGTCGTGAACCGATTTAACCCATATTTCGTGCATGTCATCAAGGTGGTAAGAAAATATTATGGACCGAATTTCATTGAAATCGATCGAGTAGTTCCTGAGATATGGTTTTTGGTCCATAAGTAGGCGACGCCACGCCCATTTTCAATTTTTAAAAAAATTCTGTCACCCTGATTACTTTGGTATATATAACCCTATATCTAACTCTTTTAGTTTTAGGACAAACAACCGTTATGTGAACAAAACTATAATACTCTCTTTAGCAACTTTGTTGCGAGAGTATAAAAATTATTCTATACAGGAACTATATTTTTATAGCATGCATATGTATGTCGATATGAAGCTTCAATGCTAAAGCATTTCATAACCAATGAATTTAAGAGATGTTTAGCAAGTTGAAGAACCGTTTCGGGTTCCGGAAAGTTGAACTAAATCAATTTAGTCAAAGCAGAACTGTGCGCGATTTATTTTAGTTTATTTTAATTTAGGTAACTGAAGAGTTTAAATATTTTATATATTTAATATATAATATCATATGCAATGAATCATCCGTGTTATAATTTCGTCAATTGAATAATAATTTATTTCGTATTTCCAGAAGAAGAATCATGTTTTAACTAGTCAACAAAACACATTAATCAATTTTTTTTTGCTTGAATAGGATATACAATTTTGCCGTGAAATTTATAACACCCAGAACAAAACATCGAAAATCGTCTACATGATTAGCTTAGTCGGCTCCGTCAGTATGTAAGCGTTTAGTTTTTGAGATATCGATCTGAAGTTTTGCAATACTACAATCACGAAATATATTGGTCAGATCGACCATTATAGCATATACTTATGTACTATCATACGAGCTGACCTATCAAAAATAAGTCTTTGTGTGGTTTTTTCTTGTTATTTTTATTAAAGCAACCATGCAAATATACACAAATAAGCAAACAAAATTATTTGTAGGACTTATACGGATATCTGTTGAATAATTGTTTAATATTTTTTGCGCAGTCCTTCAAAAGTTTAAACACTTTCACTTCACTCATATCGTTTTTTCAAATTTGCATTGTATACATACAACTTTACATACCTATTGTATGTATATAGTAAATAAATTATCAATAACAATAATTATTAATTGTAGATATTTATGTATATTTCAAATGCAATTATAAAAAAATAACCCTACATCTTAATTAACCATTATGACACCACGTACGTTCAATAATTGAAACATCGTTAAGCCGCAGATCGTTAAAATATAGATTCTCGTTATTGTAACAATTTGGTGAATCCCGACATATTTGTGAATCGTAACGCGCCATTATTTATTTATTTTCACTTAACACAAGTTTTATTTATATTTTTAGTAAAATTTTGCAAAATCAATTTTTACTATATTTTTGTTTGTTTTAAAAGTCCATCTTTGCGCTTATTTTTCGACCTTTGTGTTCAAACACTCTTAAACGAATGCAAAAACAATTGACTTCTAACGGCACGGTAAGGGAATTGTGCTGTAAATACTGTTTGGAATATAATTCCACAAGCAGCCAATCAGAGCTCTGCTATGGCTGCAGCTGAAATTGATTGGTTGATTTTAAGAGACTTATTGGTATATTTCATTTAAGGTGCGAATGAGTGTGTATTGTTAATTTCTTACTTCGCCTAGTGACGTTGCTGCGATGTTTGTAAGTAGTTCACAAATTATGAAATTTTTGTATTTGAATAGTCTGTTATTAAAAGGTGTAATATTTAAGTGCTGTTGAAGATTTTAAAATGAAAAATTTTGTAAAACGTTTCGGCATTTACTTCACTGATTACATCATTATAATTCTTATTTTATAATATTCCATGTTTCAATTGTTTAATGTTCGCATTTGCATATTTTAACAAAAACGAAAAATAGGTTTGATTTTGAAATGCTAGTAGCTGTTAGTTATCAGGAAGAAGAAGAATGCGAAAGTCACAAGTTACTCCCATAAAGAACAAAACAACTAAAAAGTAAAGAAACAAAAAACTAGCAAAAATTAATAATAAAATACCAATTTTTTTTTTTATCAATAAGATTATTATTTCCACAATTCGAAACTAATATTACAATGAACAAAATCAAAATAAATGTGTCATATGCATGTATATCGGTTGTTTATATGTACATATGTCTTCAAGAGCTGTTTCTTCACATGGCAGCAGTTAATTTCTGCTAACAAAAATTTTTCTGTTAGAAAGCAGCCCTCTCAGCTTTCTACACTCTAAATTTGTGCTCTCATGTGCCAATTTTTTTGGGTTAAGAATGAATCTTGTTATCTCTTGGTAAATAAACTCAGCTGATGAAGTATCAAACGCAAATTCAATACTGAAATTCCACATTTACATGCATTTGAAATATTATAATATATACAGTAGGTAGAAAAAGTAAGTTATCAAAGTGAAATATAAATAAGCAAAGTGAATAATATTTTAAATTTAATATTTTTTAAACGAAATATTTTTTTTTATTGATACCATATTTCAAAGCATCTAATTAAAGTAATTTTAAAACAAAAGAGAAGTTCATTGCTTTTATAAAAGGAAAACATACACACATACAGTAAATTGCATGTTGTTGCATGGAGTTGGCAAGCTTCAAACACTAATTTTTTGGAAAATTATTCCAAATGTTATAGATGCAGTTCTTCATAAATCAGGTTATGGCGTTTCTCTTCAGTTATAAGTATCTTAAGGATTGTCCAAGCATTTTCAATTGGTGACAAGTTAGGGCTTTGAAAAGACCATTACAATACACTCATATTTTCATTTTGTAAATGTTCTGTGATGACTTTTGCAGTAGGAATGGGCGCGTTGTCATGTTGAAGAAGGATAACCGGTGCAATTAGACGGTGACCTATCATGAGCCATTACACTTCGGGGTAGAGTTTTTATTCAGTTTCATAGCTCGAAAATACGTTCCGTCACAATACTCCAACAGTTTCAAAACTTCGGTTGAACAGTCGACCGACGATATTTTTGCACACCCAACCTGTATTCTGCTTTCACCGCGGACGATGACATCTCATCTTCGAAGTATGGTGCTAACTTGTCCAASTCATCCGATTTACTTACTGCAGCAAATCCTGGAAGAAGCAGTTGAAAGCTTGGTAGTACAGATTAATTTTCGAGAAATCTTTCCGTCAAATTCTGTACTAATGCGTCGATGCATGGAATAAATATTGCGACTCTGAAGTAAACTTCACTTGATGAAGTTTGCGGATTAGCACGGTTTTTCTGTCGGGAAACAATTCTTGGAGCTCGAAGTTCAGTGTCAAAAAGTTCTTTGGCATACTGCGATGCGGATCGAAAAATTTCTCCGAAAAAATCATCTGCAGTTTCTCGAATTTGCTGAAGTGTGTATATTATTTCTTTTGTGCRTGTGATTTTGTGCGAAATAATTAGGCATGAAACATAATTGTGTATGCAAATTAGTTTTGGGTGAGATTTGTGCTGGCACTAAGTACGTTTATTGGGAGTTGAATTGTTGCATATTTTTGGGCTCAAAGGGCTAAAAGGTTGGTTAATGGTTTGAGTTTTTGTTATAATGGTCAGAATGTAGTATTTAACTTTTATTTTAGCGAAGAATTATTGAAACTAAGTTCCTTACGGCGGACTTGGAGGAGATAGGGATTTCGCTGCGGGACCTAACTGAAAAANATCTTCGAAGTATGGTGCTAACTTGTCCAACTCATCCGATTTACTTACTGCAGCAAATCCTGGAAGAAGCAGTTGAAAGCTTGGTAGTACAGATTCATTTTCGAGAAATCTTTTCGTCAAATTCTGTACTAATGCGTCGATGCTTGGAATAATTATTGCGACTCTGAAGTAAGCTTCACTTGATGAAGTTTGCGGATTAGCACGGTTTTTCTGTCGGGAAACAATTTTTGGATTTTTATATTAAGGTGTAGAATCGATTTTTGGAACGAAGTTCTTTATCGCGSGTGTTGCGACGGGGCTAGCCGAGAAATTGTGTCCCGTTAAATCTGAGCGTTAAATGCCTTATGAACTTCGTTCCTTACGCGTGTTCGACTACACGCTCTAGTCTTTTTTTTTTTCAATGTATGAACCATTCAATTTCAAAATTTCGGGGGGGGGGGCCGGGGCCCCTCGGGCCCCCTCCCTGAATACGTGCCAGGCGTTATATTGGAAGAAGGCGTGGTTGTGAACCGATTTCACCCATATTTCTTACATGTCATCAGGGTGTTAAGAAAATATTATATACCGAATTTCATTGAAATCGGTCGAGTAATTCCTGAGATATTGTTTATGGCCCATAAGTGGGCGACGCCACGCCCATTTTAAATTTAAAAAAAGCCTGGGTGTAGCCATTTCCATTGCCATTTCTTCCGTAAAATTTAGTGTTTCTGACGTTTTTTGTTAGTCGCTTAACGCACTTTTAGTGATTTTCAACATAACCTTTGTATGGGAGGTGGGCGTGGTTATTATCCGATTTCTTCCATTTTTGAACTGTATATGGAAATTCCTGAAGAAAACGGCTCTGTAGACTTTGGTTGACATATCTATAGTAGTTTATGAGATATGTACAAAAAACTTAGTAGGGGTCGGGGCCACGCCCACTATTCCCAAAAAATTACGCCCAAATATGCCCCTCTCTAATGCGATCCTTTGCGTCAAATTTCACTTAATGTCTTCATTTATGGCTCAGTTATGACACTTTATAAATTTTCGGTTTTCGCCATTTTGTGGGCGTGGCAGTGGGCCGATTTTGCCCATCTTCGAACGTAACCTTCCTATGGAGCCTAGAAATACGTGTACCAAGTTTTATCATGATATCTCAATTTCTATTCAAGTTACAGCTTGCAGGGACGGACGGACAGGCAGACATCCGGATTTCAACTCTACTCGTCACCCTGATCACTTTGGTATATATAGCACTATATCTAACTCTTTTAGTTTTAGGACTTACAAACAACCGTTATGTGAACAAAACTATAATACTCTCTTTAGCAACTTTGTTGCGAGAGTATAAAAATTAGATGTAAATCGTTTCAAGCGAGTTTCACACAATAAAATAATGATATTTATTTTTTAATCTATTTTATATCAGCTAGGTGGACAAATTGATTACCAAAACAAGTAGCTAAGCAAAAGTAAAAAATGAAAATTGACAAATCTGCCATAATGTTTTGTAGTTTTGAAACAACATCTATTGCATGTACAATTTCTTGGGATCGTAGTCCAAAGATCACTAGCATATTAATCATTGGATTACGCTGCTTTTGTTGTCGAAATATTGTAAGATCAGATAGAATAACCAAGGCAACTGGTATTATCACAAAAAACGTTTTTCCTTCACTTTCATTTAGTATTAAAGATGTAATATATGCAACTGTCACAGCTAACACAACATGCAATTTATATTTTAAGAACGGTTTTTCTTTTTCTTGCACATCTTCTTTGTTTAAACTGCTTTCAAAGCCTTTGAATGTGTTTTCAAATTGTTGAAAATGTTGAAACGGCATTTGTAAATTTTCTGGAATATCGGGTTCAACTTCTGGATCCGAGTACTCAATAGTTTCGTGTATCTGATGATCTAAAATTTTATAGAAAATTAAAATATAACTAAGTTGTTGTATACAAAATGAAAATAAGCTTACTAGAACGTTGGCGCACCAAATCACTGTCGCCATCTCCACCTTGTCTCATGCTTAATTTTTCTAACCGACTTTTGGCATTCTCAAGAATCTTTTTCCTTCTTGCCTCTCGCCTAAGTTTGATCCTTTCTTCTAAATCATCGACCTCTGGAGATTGCTGCAATTCCATGTTATATTTTTACAAATCTTCCCCAATGTCTCACAGTAATATGTAATTTCACTTATAGTGATAAATATAACTCGATATCTTTCAATTCTTTGAAATGTTAAACTAACAAGAGTTATCGAGTCGAGCTTATGACATGGTTACACAACATTTTTACTACAGAGTGATAATCGTTTCCACATTTGTAGAAGTATTATTTTTTTTTTATTTTATTTTATAAAAGCTTACATAATAATACAATTATTATACAAACTAAGAAAATACGCAGCACTAGCATCATGGGCTATCGGCCGTATTATTATTAAAATACAAGATTCATTTTAATAATTTTTGTACATTTGCTGAAATTCAAAAGGAAAACTTAAGAATAGCATTCTACAATAAAATGGGTTCCATATTCCGATTCTGGAGATGCACTACTAAAACCTAGTCTTATAACGTGAGGTACAGTAAGTAACAGAGAAATAGCAAACTTTAAGCATGCAATAAAACTGCATTTATTATTAATATAATAATTAATTTTTTCTTTACAATAGCATAACTTGAGGAAAAAGTTATGTTCAAAATTTAAAAAGATTTTTTCAAAAGTACTTTTAATCACACCGTTTATACCTTTAAGTGTTCTCAATTTTTGTAAATTG